CTGATCCCCATACCCCATATTGTACCGCAAATGATCCTAGACCGGAAATGATCGCCTCGCCATAAAAGATGGAACATGAGAAGCTTTGTCCACGAAAAAAATGTATCCAAATAAGGTTAATCATAAGCCATGGATGGATTCAACCCGCCCATGGCTTATTATTAAATGTAACTGAAGATCCAAGTTTCCAAGTTTTGTACGATTGACATTTGCGGTAACACATGACACTAATTTAGTTACCAGACCATTGCAGTGGCATTATTTTTCTCACGCGGGCCGCGGCTTTGTATTAAGAGGCAGTAATAATAATTATTTTAAAAATGTCTTAAAATCTCAAGTTAATATATAAAACAACGGTAAGATGCCAACTTAGTTTTCGCGGAACGAATACCTCCATCAGACCAGCTTCTCTATAGAGAAAGAAAAAATGAGGCAGATATTACGCGGGGTATCCAATCGATGGAATCGATAACCGATGACAACCGATATCAATCGATATCAATCGATATCAATTAATCGATTGATATTGATAATCTATGAACAATCGATGGCGAGGATTCGTGTGGTTATCGATTGGCATCGATTATCAATACCAATCGCTAGATAAATTGGTATCGATTGGGATATTATGGCTTTGAAGTCTCGGTCTCGCAAGTGAAGAAATCAAACTGTCTCGAACTCGCAAACAAAAACGCTAGTGTCGCCTTCTCGGAAAGTCTCCCATTTTGCTTGTTGTCTGTTCACCTTTTCTTCTGATTTGAAGCGATTTGAGCGACTTATCGGTTCCTAAATTTCCTACTCTTGAGAGAAAAAAGAAGGCTGCACAGTCCAATTCGGAATGCCCGACCCGAGAAGCGAAAAATGTCACCTTAAATGTCCAAATAACTGTTCGGCCCGAGGGAATGGAATACCATCTCACCTGTTTTTAACATGTGAATTAACCTTAGAGAGATTGGAAAATATCAGCGCGCCGAAAAGTCAATGTTTTTGGTAGTCAATGTAATATAAGTATCTCAACGTGTGGGAATTCTTTCATAAGTTTAATATCTGACATGCATACAATCTCTTTATCCCATGCGTTATCTTTAAAACCAATTTACTCTTTCAAATAGAAATTTATAAGCGAAAACTGTAAAAAAATCGTGGCCGAGTGGTCAGCGCGTCGGACTCGCAATTCCGCGGTCCCGGGTTTGAGTCCCGCTCTGACCATTACCTGGATTTGTTTCACGGTAGTCCCGAGTTCAAATCCTCAGCCACGCTTCTAAATAGTCAACTGGTTTGCCTCCGACCAGTTGAGATTCTTAACAGTGTTATATTCAACTTGAATTATTTGTTTCAGTTGTTTGCTCAGTCCCACTAGCCTTTGTGGTATAAACGCTGCCGAGAGTAAATAAGGTATATTTATTTATGTTTTATTTGTTTTATCGGTAGAAGGGAATGAATGACTTCTCACCTGCTTCTAAGATGTAACCTTCGAGAGATGAGAAAATGAACGCGCTCAATAATAAAATAATAGTCTGGTAGTCAATGCAACTAGACTAACGGATAGGAATGCTTTTAATGTGTATATCATACATATCGCAAAAGACCACCACCTCACCGAAGCGCATAAATTATAAGAGCGCCTCGTGAAGTGTTTTGGTACTTGCAGAAAGTCGGTACTCAAGGAAACTCTTACTAACGGATAGGAATGCTTTTAATGTGTATATCATACATATCGCAAAAGACCGCAAAAAGCAAAAGATTTACTACGACTTGTTTTTCCTCTTTGCGTGGTTAAGGTGCCTGGTAAGCATCCAGAAATCATCAATTATTAGTTGCGTGGTCCATAATTGTCGTGGTTAGCGAGCTCATCTCCGGATTAAGTCGTGGGGGCTCGAACCACAGCCGGGGACATTTTGTTATGTTCTATAGCAAGACACTTTACTCTCACAATGCATCTCTCCACTCACGTGTGTAATGGGTACCGGCGAGGTCATTGCCGGTGGTAACCCTGCGATGGACTAGCATCCCATCAAGGGAGGAGTATAAATACTCCGATCCTAGTCGCTTCATGCTACAGGAAACGGGATAAGCTTGGGCCTGATGGGCCAGTTGGCTCGTATGCAGACTTTACCTATAATAATTCCGTTAATGAAATACGAAAGAAAGATTCAATAACCAGCGATGCAGCTAGTTGTAGTCATTCTTTCACTTTTTAATTTTTCTTTCTTTTCCCACAAACGCAGCATACAACTAAAGTTACTGAACAACAGCGAGAAAAATACTGATATGGGATAGACGAATTCAAAACCTGCAATACCTCCACATTCTAATGAAAGAAAAAAAAATTCATTCATTCCATCGTAAACCAGAACTGGAACTCTAAATATAGTTGGAAATTTAGGACTTTGTCCGCTTTGGTGAGTTCTACAAAAAGCTACAGGCGATGTCATAGGGTGTGTATCCATGTACATAACAGCCACCCCTCATTTGTTTGCCAGAGACTGAGTAAGGTAAGATCAGTTTGAGACGAAATGAATCCCTGAATGTTATCCTGACTGTTTCATTAATTAATTTTCTGCAGATTTTGAATTCTTGTCGGAGTTCATCCGACGCTAAGAAAGAGATTAAAGAGTAATTGCACTAAAAATCAAAGAAATCGTGGCCACGGTCGAAAAATTGATTTTGCTTATACTTTGCCAGTTTGAAGGCCTAGGTAAGGAACTGAAGGACACCAAGTTAGTTTTTTTTGAAATATCCAATATAACGGCAGAAATTCACTAAAAACGGCCATGGCACCGAAAGCTCAAATTTCACTTCGCGATAATCCGAAATTTTACACTTTTCAGCTTCTTGCCACACAGACGTTTACATCGCTGTGAAACATTCTTAACTTTAAATGTATACCTTGATTCTTTCTTAATCAAGAGATGGTAATTATTTTCATTTTTTTTTGTGTGTTTTCTGAGCGAACTTAGCCCCGATTAAGTAGACATACTATTCTAATTAAAACAAAACTCAAAAGTTATGCAAATTCAGTGAGGAAAAAAGCTGACCGGTAGTGCTTCAAATCGTCTGATATTCTAGCAAAAGACAGTACAGTCAATGAATTTTACGTTAACAATTTTATTTTTGTGGGATCTTTTAGCAATTTTTCATGAAAGCCGATCAAAATTCGAGAAAATTGCAATTCAGCCCCTTTGAAACTTGCAACGTAACGCAACACGCCAAAATAGGTAAAAATCTTTTGTTGGCTTTGAAAATTTAAGGTGGCTCTGAACCCTATGTAGAGGATTTTTTTAAAATTTTGCCAAAAAATGCGTCTCATCGTGCTTATCAAACTTTGATACTATAATAGAATTTCATCGCGCTGTTTTCGAATTATAAGCCCCTAAAGCTGTAATTAAGGGTTGTTTTAGCAGGTCATACTGTTACTATGGTAACCTATTGTATCACGAAAATAATAATAACGTGTTCACCAATGATTGGGTAGGTTTTTGATACCATGATTGTAGCATCAAATGATAAAGAGTGGCAATAATGACCCATCAAAATCTAAGTGCTGGACACTGTTTTGAGCCACCTTAAACAGCCTTGACACATTTCAACTCATGATCAGTTTAACGTAAAGCAACTTTATATCACTTACTGATTTCTTTCACTTATTTCTCAGAGACTATGAAGCGTTTTGTTTTCTTCCTGATAACTTGGGCCTTGGCGGCGGCAGTCCCGCGCTATAATCAAACTCAGGTAAGCGTGTGACCTCCGTTTCTCAAATACCAACTATTTCATTTTTCTGAGTTATTGATTGAAATTGTTTTTCATGCTGATAAATGATTAATTTATTTATTACTTTTACAGGACGAAAACCAAGACAAAGACCCTGGTACGTCTATCAACAGTCTTCCCTTAGTAGTTGTTACTAGCAGCACAACAATATCATCATTTCATTTTTTTAAAAAAATGCTTGCAAATTGGTACAATATATTGTTGCTAATATTTTGAATGAGGTACTCTAACAAACATTACTTGCTATAAGATGACGCCCGCGTTATGGACTTTCTGTTCAAGTTATGGTGGTGGGAGTTGACCAAATTATAAACCCTAGATTCACCTCTATCGGGGTTAAGAAAAAAACACTACTCAACCGAAAGATTAACAGCTCTTCCATTCGAGCCTTCACAGAGCTCAAAAAACTGAGAAAAAGTGAAGAATTTATTGAAGAAACTGAGAAAAAATACAAAGTATTGACCGCTGAAAATGAATAGACCTAATTTCTGTTCGCACAAAAACAAAATGCCACTGAATTCAATCGATTGATGTAATTTCACTCAGTTGACGATTAGAAGTTGAAGATAGCGAGGAAAATACAGAAAAAAAACGTCTCGCTTAAAGAATCATATCTATTTTGACTGCTAACCACAGAAATGTAAGCTTGTGTTTAACGACACTTAGCAAAAGCAAAGATATTACTGAATTCATTTCTCAGGCAGGATGTAAGCAAAAAGTTCAATACTACTCTGCCAGAAACTAGAAACGTCCCCGTTTCGAGACTTCACACAGCTGAAAATTTCAGACATTTGAAGAAACCGAGAAAGTTTCACTAACTTCGCAAACCAGAATAAAGACTGAGTATATATGGTATAGAATTCATTGTAAACAAAAAGTTCAAAACTACTCTACTAAAAGAAACTCCACCATGCTGAGTCTTCACACATAATGAAACTGAGAAAAATATATATAAACGACAGGGTGACTGAAAACCACATATTAACTTAAGCTTGCTGATCTTAGCTTGACAATTAGGAGGGAATCTTGTGTAAAAGGTGTTTTTCTCGTCGCTTCTCTAACTTTCTTATGAAAAGTGGACGTGTGTTTCATTGCACTCGACAAGAGAACAATAGTGTCTGGGTTCCTTGGCAAGTGGAATGATCTGTCAAAACCAACGCGTCTATTTTTCTAATAAGTTTTCTTTACAAGCTTGAGTATAGGGCATTTTGTTTTCTTGTGACATAATTAATAAAATAAATAAATTTTAAAATTATTTGTCTCTCCCTAGACACACCAAAAGAAATCGTGATATATCATCAAACCATGTCTCCAACATGGCTGAAGGCGCATACGTCCTCTATTGCCAGTTTCCACACGAAAACCGCTGAACAGCTCACATTCAACAGAGGCTCAGCAGATAACGCCGCCCTCCTTAAAGTTCCCATGATTCCTGCTGGTGTCTTGCATGTTTTCGCCTCGCTGACCGTTAAAATTGTGGTTTCGCATGACGTCAGTATCAGGACAGCACGTTATGGCAGCGATATTTTATATGGTGTGTCAGACGGGAATGCTGTTTTCGGAATTACTACGAGAGGTAAAGTTGATTACAGGTACCGCCCCCCATGTAATGGGTTCTTCGGTCACTCTGGTACAAAGTTGAGACGAAGTGTGTGGGTCGGCACTCGTTCGCCTAAACCAAGCGACTCTTTCTATCCCGGTCAGTTTGCGATCACTCTGAAGGTGGATGAACATTGGGGCTCGTGCTACCCTACGCATGACGGAGGTTTCGTAAACACGGCTTACTTCAAGCTGATAGTGCCGCCCCACGACGGACTCACTCTCGATGTTTATAAAGCAAACAAGTTCCATAAAGTTGGAACCAAGTACATCGAAGTCACTATCCTACAAGATGCTGCATCTTTGTACTCAGTGCAACTGTAAAATTAAGGGATATCAGTAAGGGGAATTTGTTTTTGTTTGTTTCTTGCAGCAAAATGAGATCAACAATGGTGGACTTCTTTATGTAATCCGCTCTGCTTGCTGGAATAAAAAAAAAACAGGTTTTGGTAAACATGTGAAACTCTTTGTTCTTTATATCACTTTTGAATCCATAGATTAGATCAATAACAATGGCAATGACAATGGCAGTGACAGTGACAGTGACAGTGACAGTGAAAATGACAGTGACAGTTAAAAAGACAAAGACAAAGACAATGATATTGGCAGTGACAGCGACAGGGACAAAGACAGCCGGCCCCTTCGGCCCTGGGGTGGGGGCGGGGTTGGAGGGGAGTGAGGCATGAATTGCATAGTAACTCATGTATGTTCAAACATAGAAGAACTCTGAATATAAAGTTGCTAAAGTTTATTTCCACTTTCATAGAGTTATTTTACATGCTTCGTTATTAGATTAACATTCAAAAACTAAGTATTGAAAATGACAAAAAAATTCTTCAGCAGCGACTTTCCTTTATAATATAGTAAATGTACTAAAAATGACTGAACTTGGAGCATGAACATTAAGATAGAATCTACAGTTACTCGAGTTTCACGCTTGAATCGATCGAATTTGGAGCATATATATAATCACTGAATTAGGAGTGGCCCTAAAGGACGACATTTGTACTCAAGTTTTTTCATTGTTGACCTAAGATGTCCGAATTTTCTGAGGTATAAATAGATTTTTCAAGACTGTCTAAGATGACGTACGAAGTTTATCGAGTTTTTTAAGAGGTCCGGTATCACATCATATATTTTTTTAAATGGATTGTCCACCATCAACCGATGCTGGAACACATCAACTTTTGCCCTTTATGTTATAAACAATTTATCGTACGTTTCCTAAAAGGAGGAGGATCGATTGATAAAAAACAATTAATGACTGCTTATACTTATTGACTAACAAGGCAATTTAATCCTCTATTAATTATAATATTGGCTATATAACTAGCTATTCGACCGTGGGCCACGTAGGTTGTAACTCAGGCTTGTTACATTCATTATTAACATCAGCTACATCGTTTTTGACTGACTAAAATGAAAACTTGCATGGAACAAATTCGAAAATGGATCCCTGGGAAAACTTCAAGCAGCGACATTTCCGCCAAAACCACCACTCCGGGAAAATTTAGGAGCACCGGAATATTTGGGACCTAGCAATCAAGACATAAGAAATTAATATTTCACTTAGTACTTGTTCTGCATTATAAACTATCGCCATCTTTCCTAGAATTTTGCAGTATTTCTTGTTATTGGTGATTGACAGCGCGAAAAGGGAGTAGAAGAAAATATTACAGCTACCCTTTTCTTTTCACGAGCCTTACATCTGTCTCAGCGAGCTCATTTCCCACACTTTCCGATTCTTGGTTACCGATCTGGGGAAGAGAGAGAATAGCGATGCGGACTATTCTTTTGAATCTTCTACTTCTAAATTACTGTCGACCAGTTAGAAGACGCTGCACATTACATTCAAGGTTGTAACTGCCAAGGTTTCATAAGACGGCGCAAACCTAGTTACGTTAACTTTTAAGACAAGTTTGGTGGAATATTTACTCCCGGAGTAATTTGTCGAAACAGTTTCAAAATATTCTAAGAAAAAAAGAAAAGAATTCTTTTCCATCGGCAGTAGAATTCCCAGAATGAAAATAGATAGCAAAAAGTACTTACTCTCTTTAAAAACATTCAAGTCGACAATTGGCAGATCGCTGCAGGACACATCATCATTTACACTATTGTTAATATTTCGCAAGAAGACCTTGGGCTGAATAGTGAACACGCCATCTGAATTGTCACATATCACTCGACCTAAAGTGGCCTTTCTTATCTCGGTCAGTTGTCCTGTGGTAAACCCTGTCAGAGGGTCGTCTCTCTCATACCAGAAGCGATCACCAGCGCGGCAGTCCTTAAACTGTTTGAGAAACAGACAGGTGGCGGTTCTTCCCATCTCACTGCCTTCTATAGGGTTTTCACTCAATATTCCCGCAAATAGATCGATGTCCTCGACAGTTCTGTAAGTGTCTTCCAGTCTCACCCGCTGAGCAAATGGTATATCTGTAAGATCATTGAAGCCGGTACCTGTAGCTGCTGGACCACCACAAAGTTTTGAAATCTCGATATAGCCTGGTATGCCATGATCTCGTGCACGCTGAATGTTTATAGAAGCAAGGTCACCAAAAATACCATCGTGTGGTCCTGGTATTATGAGTTTCTCCAACACCGCCAAAGCAATATTCCTACGAGAAAGAAAAACACTAACTTATTGTCAAATACGATTTTTTGGAGAATCGTTTTTAACTGTTTGGCATGAAAGCCCGAACTTGCTATTTAGATCATTATATTTTTGTAAAAGGATCTACTCATGAATTTGGTGTCCTTTTAACAGTTGCTGTTATCAAAATAACTCAATTTAAGGGCAAGGCCTAGCAAAATCGATGCGTTTTAATGACAGAGAATGAATATTCTGACAACGAAGTTTCTATACTGACCGAGTTTTCCGATGCAGAACTATTCAATCGGAAACTTAAACAGGACGCGCAGAAAGAAAGTAAACACCCTCATAAATGAAAAGTTCACACACTCACACACACGACACACACACGCACATACACACATTGTTGTATTATAAAATGCTTATCGACCGAGTGAGGTCAATATTTAATAGTTTGGAGGAATAGTGTCTGTTAGTCAGAACGTCTCTTTGAGAAGTATTACATTAAACCACCCTCACTTTGATTGCGACCATTTCTCCCCCAAATAAAAACGCATATATAATAAAGTCATTTAACTACTTCGCTATTAGATCACGGTTCATGAGATCGAAGTGTCTGTGTTATGTAAGTTACAGTTCAAGGGCTGCTGAAAGACAATCGAGAAATGAAGTTTTTGCTTTCCGATTGTCAATCAGTTTATTTTGTCTTACAAAACAAGCCTAAACAATGAACACATACCGGTCAAATTCGAAGGCTCTTTCCAAAGCTAATCCAAGATATAAACCTGTATAGGGATTGACTCCTAAGTTTAGTTCGTAGAGCACTGCTGGGTCAAAAAAATCGACTGCAGATTCATTCAGGCGGTCCACCCTACGAACTCCATCCGCCAGTGTAAAGGTTTCCCGAATCAGGGTGTGGCCTATTCTTAAACCAGCCGTAGAGAATTCGTTGAACATTACACACTTTACAAAAGGATCGTAACCGTCGAAGAATGTTCCAGGTGCCTCTAACGCAACTCCTGCTTCTTGCCTCTGAAACAGAAGACGGTCGTTCGTTGTTAATATCCATTCACTTGGAACAGAGCCGCGCTTGCAGTACTTCGTGCGCGGCTTGGGTAAGTCTAGTTTGATCTCAGAATCTCTTAGATTATAA